GAGTTGCGGAGGATCGGTTTTCAGGTAGGAGGAAGTCTAGAGCGGATCTAGGCTTCCATCCCAAGTGCAGCTGGTTAGGACTAACGTCGGTACTGTTGTGTATAACGTTGTTGTACAGGCTAGCGATGAGAGGCAACTTCTCATTGCAATCATCCTGGTTGGGCTCGATATAATGCCTCAGCAGGTGCTGTACAACTCTGTTCATCTGCTCGGCCTGTCCGTTGGCTTCGGGATGATTCCTTGAAGTCATCTGAAGTTGACTGCCCATCTGCTCAGCAGTCTTCTTCCACATCTCACTTGTGAAACGGACATCTCTGTCACTAACGATTGTCTTTGGTAAACCAAAGTCACGCACCCAGTTGTCCTGGAACAACTTGATGACATGGTCAGTCCTTGCGGTCTCTGGCATGGCAACTAGTCTAGCGTACTTGGTGAATCGATCGATGATGACGAAAATGTGCCTCTTGCCACTCTTACTGGTCACCAAGGTGTCCATGAAATCCATGGAAACACTCTGTCCTGGACCAGCGGGGATAGGTAAGGGCTTCAGCAACCCAAGCGGTGCTTGAGTTCGCGGCTTGTCCCGCTGACAGACCTAACAGGTCTCTACATACTTCTTTGCGTCATCTAGCATTCCAGGCCACCAAAATCGCTGTACTAGATTAGCACTCGTCTTTTTGTAACCAAAGTGCCCGGTTGCGTCATGGCATTCTCCTAAAAACAAACTACGCAAACGTTCACTAGATGGAACTACTAACCTTTCAACTCCGGCCTTATCAAGATAGAGAAGCCCGTCCACCATCACAAACTCACTTTCCGTGGCCTTGTCTTTTGCCTGAAGTTTGTGCATGATGTCTATCGTGACAGGGTCTTCCTGATAGGCTCCCACCAACGATTGAGTTACTTCTTCCGATACACCAAAGTCAGAAACTAGCGACCCTATGTAGTCTTCCCTACGTGATAGCGCATCTGCAACCTTATTGTACTCCCCCTTCCGATACTCAAGCTTGAAGTCATATTGATCTATGACCTCAATCCATCGCTTGAGTGCATCAGAAAGAGCCGATTGAGTCTTGATCCATTTGAGTGTCTGATGGTCAGTCCTCAAATAGAAGAACCGTCCCAACAGAAAATGTCTCCAATGGACAAGTGCCTTGTAGAGAGCATAGAGTTCTCTTTCGTAAGTGGACTTTGCCAGTTTCTTAGATGGCATCTTCTTACTCATGTACTCAATCGGTCTCAACTTCTTCCCATCCTGCTGAGCCAGCACTGCGCCAATGCCATGTTGGCTTGCGTCAGTAGTTACTATAAATGGCTTTTGAGGATCGAGAACCATGAGAACTTCATGATTCATGAGTGCATGCTTCAATCGCTTGAAAGCACCCTCGCACTCATCACTCCAGTCCCACGGCGTGTCAAGTCGAGTTAGATCCGTCAAAGGAGAGGCGACTGTAGAATAGTTCTTTACGAAGTTCCTATAGTAGCCGCACATTCCTAAGAAAGATCCGACCTCAGTGACAATTTGAGGTCGTGGCCAGTCTCGAATATTAGCCACCTTCGCATCTTCCGGCCCAATCCCTTCCGCGGATACTTCATGACCCAAGTATAATATCTTAGTGCGACCACACTCGCACTTCTCTTGGTTGACCTTATACTTGTGTTGTCGCAGGAGTGAAAGTACAGTCTCAACGTGCTGTGCATGCTCCTCGGCAGACTTACTAAAGATCAGAATGTCGTCAAGGTAAAGCACGATAAACTTATCTAAATGGTCATGGAAGATCCGATTCATGGCGTGCTGGAATGTTCCCGGCGCATTGCAAAGACCAAAGGGCATCACTACAAACTCATACAGACCATATCGAGTCTAAAAAGTTGTCTTGTGTTGGTCCTTAGGTCTTATAGTGATCTGATGATAGTCGGATTTATCTTGCTATAGTACTTGCATCCCTGCACCCTATCCAGTAGGTCGTCTATGCGAGGTAGAGGCTCTGCGTTCTTCACTGTGATGGCATTGAGGCCTCTATAGTCAATGCACATCCTCAACGCACCCCCCTTCTTTGGTACGAATAGTACTGGAGATCCGTAAGGGGAAGTACTAGGCCGGATCCATCCCTTCTCTGTCAGCTCTTTCAGTTGTTGCCGAAGTTCATCCAACTCGGCCGGAGCCATCCTATAGATCCTTCCCTTTGGGGTCTTACTCCCTGGAATGATTTCTATGGAGTGGACAACCTCTCTTTCTACGACCCCTGTAGGCTCTTCGAACAGGTCAGGGAACTTAGCAACGACGCGTTCTATCTCTGGGGGTGTTTTAACGGCCTCCCCTTTCTCAGAGACATACACTAGGTACATACCCTCCTCTTGGTTCTGTTTGTAATAGTTGTAGAACGCTGATGCACACAAGCAGCCATAGGTATCTATAATGCTACTGGCTTTGAACTTAGTCAATCTGACTGTTCTGCCATCGGGCAACTTATGCTTAAGCGCCTTCTTGTCCCAGTCGAACTGGGCCTTAGCAACCTCAAGGTAGTACATTCCCAACAACATGTCGAATGGCAAATCGTCGCTAACCAAGAACGATACCTTATGATTAAGTTCTCCTCCTCCATAGGAGAACGTACAAACTACGTCCTTGATATAGTATGTGACTATCATGCGCTCTTTGTTGGCCAAAGTAGATGCTACTGGTCTACTAAGGTGCCGTACCCAGTCCTGTAGGTGCAACCTTTCCAAACAATCGCGACTTATATAATTCCGCGTGGAGCCAATGTCTATGAAGGCACCACATTTGCGGCCTCCTACATCAACTTCCACTACGAAATGTTCCCCTCTAGGACCTTTCCTTAGTGCCACCCAAGATTCGCGAGGGTCCTTGTTTGACCACTCACTTTCCAGATCTTCTAAGGCCTCAGACACATCCAACGTACAGAGCATAGCTTGGTCTGGATGAGTCTGCGGGGTGACTAAAGAGTCATTAGCTATGGCCATCTCATGAAGTGGAGAGGGTATTGGGCCCACTTCACCATGAGTAGAAGCAACTAAAACTTCCACCGGCCTCACGTGTTTCGCGAGCTAGAAGCCTGGGAAGAAGATGCCCCCATCTTAGGAGGTATCTTCTGCGTGACCTTTGCGTTCTGGCACTTGTACTGGGTGTGTCCGTATTCACCACAGTTTATACAAGCGCCACGCACTCGGCGGTCCTGCCACACGTCTTGATCAAGACCTGCCTTGACCCAATCAGCCACTTTGGTTTGATTGGAGGCGGCCTTCCCTTGACTCTTTGGATGGCCCTTCCCTCGGCCACCCGCCTTAGCCTTGACTACTGCGACGAGGGTGCTACCCTCAGCGACCTCCTCGCCGTCAAACTCTGAAACGTCCAGCATGTCTGTGAGCTCATCAATTTCTGTTTGAGTCCCATCGGACTCAACCATCATCAATTTAGCCCCCTTCTTCTTCCATTCCTGCAGACTCTTCTTCTTCCTCGTGTCATTCTGAGTAGGTTGAGCATTCCCTAGAGTGGCCTCCAAATCTATGGCTTTTCTAGACAATGTCTCAAAAGAGTGATACTCGAGGCGTGCCTCGCTGACCAGCAAGTTTCTGAGATTCTCTGGGAGACATCTCACAAACGTTGTCAATAAGAACTGGTTATCGTAGTTGATACCAGGAACGACGATTAGGCTTTCAATGGTAGTCGTAAGTTCTCTAACTGACTTAAACTTTCGTTGGTCTAGTCTGTTTATCGCATCAGTGGCCAATTGCGCCTGCTGAGGATTGTGCCAGCGAGCTTCTACCATCTCCAAGAACTGGTCTAACGTAAGAGACTTAGCCCAGTCCGCCATGCGTCTCCCATACCCGGCCTTTGTAACTACACCATCCAGCCATTTGGCTGCCTTACCCTCGAGGTAAGATGCAAGAGTAATCACCTCCTCCTCCTGCAAAGTCCTCTTTGCCTTCACCCAAACCGGAACTGTTCTCAACCAAGTGTTGAGCTCTTCGTTCTTCTTCTCGCCCGAAAAGGCAAGAGGCGGTTTCATAGGGGTCTTAGGGTACCAAAGACCTTGCGGCTGTCCCTATGGAGGAACAGGTTGTTGCGGTGGTGTAGCTCCCACCGCTGGACCCGAAGAAGAAGAAACAACAGTCTGTGAGACTGCTGCAGACGTGCCACTTGGTTGTGTGCCAGCTTGTATGGGAAAGGGGCCTGACATCGTCGTTAACGGTAACGGCGACTGTGCTGGTGGCCTAACTCCTGGCCTTTGCAAAATGTCCAGGATCTGGTCTAGAGTGTTCTGCATAAAGTCCAATCGGCTGTCCACATGCGCATGCAGTGGCAGCATATTGTTCTTCAATACTTTCATTGGTTCAGTCAATCCTGACTCATCCAAACCCTCTAACTCAGCTTTGTCAGCCTCTAACGTTTCAAGCCTGGCTGTTCTATTTTTAATTTCTCTTTCTCTATCGGTTGCCTGTTTCAGTTCCCTCTCTAATCGTTCACGGATCCTTTCGACCTGTTGGAGCTCTAGAAGCTCCCTTTCGCGTGGGGTCAACGGGCTGAACTGCGAGCCCGCCATTTGACTTGTAGACTGTCGAGAACCTACTGAACTGGAAGTACCCGTGGACCCTGTGGGCATACCCAAATGGGTCCCTGACGAGGATGCTGCGGACGATGCAGTGGAGGATGCCGCTGCGCTAGACATTGCAGCTGCTCTGCCTGCTGCAGCAGCCTGTTCCCTAGCTGCTAGGTTTGCTTCTGCCCTCGCTGCTGCAAGAGCACGGGCTCTACGTTCGGCACGAAGCCGTGCTTCGTCTCCCGGTTGTAGGGTCTAGAACACGTGCGGGACCCTAAGTGCTCCCAAACGTGTAAGTCTCACATTGTCCTCTCTCCCCTTCATCGCTCTCTGATCCGCTCATGAGTTAGGCAAACACTATCTGCAGTAGAACCCCCTAGTGGAGTCCTACCACAGCATGTGTCTGATTGACACCTAATTTTCTAAAAATAGTTGTGTCCGGCAGGTCCCCTACTTTACCGATCAAGTAGCAGCCTACAACATTCACAACAGATTGTCAACATAGTCTAAATGTATCTTGATTGGTTCACTTACAACAGCATTAGATAGAACTGGCTATGGTAGTATACAACAGTCCTACTCTAATCTGTCTGTGACGTGTTAGCAGTCTGTCCACCAACTAATCAAGAATAAAAGAAGACCATGTTGCAGATGTATGAATAGTGGGTATGGTTGTGTTTCCAGTTGAGCATCRATTAGAACCTACCCTTCCCCTCAATCCAACATACCGGTAAGCATCATTGAGCAGCGGTGTCTTCGTGTGTGTTTTCGGCCCACCCCTGTGCCCAAGTCGTTGCCGAGCAAGCCAGCCAGTCCACTCTTATTTACCCTCGTACGGAACGAGCCTTACACCCGATTGATCTGGCTGATCAGGAGGAATTTTAAGAGCGCCCCCATCTCTTCAGGAATTATTTAACGTCGCAGTCAGGACGACGATCACAGCCAGAATCAATCGAGTCCCCAACCAGAAATGTTTATAGACGGTCTGGTAAGCGTCTCATAAAAGGCTGGCACACCCGGCAGGACTTCTATTCAGCGCAGCAAGTGCCAAAATGGACAGCAGCCATCGCATGCGTGACCTACTCCCATTGGGTTGGCATGGTGACCGTGACCCAGTGCTTCGACCAGGGCCCT